TGAGCACATTCCCCGCGGGCTCCTTGCCTTTGGAGAGAATTCCCGCGCTAGCAAACCTCCCAAATCGCTTTGCTTTCCCAGAAAAAGTTGGAAAACCTGAAGAGCTTAGACCTGTTCAACTGTGAGGTGACCAACTTGAACGACTACAGAGAAAACGTGTTCAAGCTGCTGCCGCAGCTGACGTACCTGGACGGCTACGACCAGGACGACAAGGAGGCGCCCGACTCCGACGCCGAGGGATACGTGGAGGGGCTGGACGACGAGGAGGAGGATGAGGATGGTACGGGAACCGGGAGCGAGGGGGGAATGAGGGAAAGGGAATGAGGGGATGGAGTTCAGGGAATTGAGGGGAAAGAGGTGAGGATATTGAGAGGAGGGAATGAGGAAAGGAATGAGAGGAAGGGATGAGGGAAAGGACCTCGGTGTCCTGAGGGAATCAGGGAAGGAACCTGAGGGAAAGAGGGGAAGGAGTTGAGGGAATTGAGGGGAGGAGTTGAAGGAATTGAGGGAAGGGATGAGGGAATTGAGGGGAGGGATGAGGGAAAGGACCACGGTGTCCTGAGGGAATGAGGGAAGGGACCTGAGGGAAAGAGGGGAAGGAGTTGAGGGAATTGAGAGGAGGGAATGAGGAAAGGAATGAGGGGAAGGGATGAGGGAAAGGACCTTGGTGTCCTGAGGGAATCAGGGAAGGGACCTGAGGGAAAGAGGGGAAGGAGTTGAGGGAATTGAGGGGAAGGAGTGAGGGGATGAGGGGAGGGATAGGGAATGAGGAGGAGTGAGGGAATTGAGGGGAGGGAAGGGAGGGAGTTGAGGGGAGGGAATGAGGGAAGGGATGAGGGAATTGGGGGGAGGAATGAGAGAAAGGACCTCAGTGTCCTGAGGGAATCTGGGAAGGGACCTGAGGGAATTGAGGGGAAGGATCTTGGTGTCCCAAAGGAATGAGGGAAAGGACCTCAGTGTCCTGAGGGAATCAGGGGAAGGAGTGAGGGAAATGAAATGGAGGGAATTAGGGAAAGGACCTTGTTGTCCTGAAGGAACAGTGGGAGAAGGATCTCTATGTCCTGAGGGAATGAGGGGAAGGAATCAGGGAAAGGAGCTGCATGTCTCAAAGAAATGAGGGAATGAGGGGAAGGAATGAGCGAGGGAATTGAGGAAAGGAGTGAGGGAATGAGGGAAGGGATCTCAGTGTCCCAAAGGAATGAGGGGATGAGGGAAAGGGCCTGAAGGAATAAGGGGGAAGGAGCTGGGTGTCCTGAGGGAGTGGTGGGAAGGAGCTGGGCATGGCCTGAAGGAGCAACTTCCTCAGTTTTATCCCTAGTGAAAGACCGGGACGACAAGGAAGCGCCGGATTCCGACGCCGAGGGATACGTGGAAGGGCTGGATGACGAGGAGGAGGATGAGGATGGTACGTGGGATGTGCTCCATGGGATTCCTGCATCCCAAAGGAGTGAAGGGAGGAGGTGGCAGGGCCTGGAAAATCCCATCCCTCCATCAGGGAATGGAGGGGTGGGATCGGGAAGGGTCTGAAGCAATTACGGGAACAGGGATGAGCATGGATGAGAAGGAACATCCTGGAATTGTGGAAATCCTCATGGAAAAGGGTTTCCGTGGGCATGGAAAAAAGCAGGAATTGGGGAGCTGCTCCATGAGGGAAGTGCATGGAAAACACTGGGGAGCTGCAGTGAATCTGTGCCGGGAACTGAGGAAGGAACAGCCTGGAATTCCAGGGAATCCCAGTGCTGTAGGCACCGCCTTTCCCTGGCTGCCCCTGGAGCCATCCCAGGATGAGGATCCAGCTGATCCCAGGGAATTTGCTGGATTCTCCCATCCCAGCAGCACAGCAGAAAAGCTGGATATGCACTTTTCCCGGGAATGCTGAGTGGGAACTCTGGGAAGGTTCCCAAAAGCTCTCAAACACATGGAAAACACTCCAGGGGCTCGGCACTTCCCGGTTTTCTGCTGGGAGTTTTGGGAATTGCCTGAAAGGCTGGAATTTTGTGTCCATGGAAAGGCTCCTTATGGATGATGGGAAAGTTCTGCTCCATCCATTCCTGGAAAAGCTGGGATTTCCCAGCTCCCAAATCCTTGGGAATAGTGGGAAGTGGAGCAGCTGGAGCAACTCCAGCCCTGCATTCCCTGACAATCCTGTGCTACCCCTAAGGAATTCTCTGCTTGCATTCCCAAAGTTTGGGCGGAACTATTCCAAAAAACCTCAACTTTTTCCATGGATTTTGTTTTTCCAGAGGAGGAATATGACGACGACGCTCAGGTAGTGGAGGATGAGGAGGACGAGGAGGAGGAGGAGGAAGGGGAGGAGGAGGACGTGAGCGGAGAGGAGGAGGTGAGCCTTGGAATTCCACCTCGGGAATTGGCGGGATCCGGCTGGGAGGGGCTGGGCAGGAAATCCGGGATTTGAGGAATTTTAGGATTCGCTTTGTGCTGGGGTGGATGAGGGATGGGGTGGGGGGGAAAAGTGGGATTGGGGGGAAAAATGGGATTACAGGGGGGGGAAATGGGGTTGGAGGAAGGAAAATGGGATTTTGGGAGGGAAAATGCAATTGGGGGAGAGAAAAAAGGGAAAGGGGAGAGTGGGATTGGAGGAAGGAAAATGGGATGGGAAAGGGGAAGACAGAATTCCAGGAATTTGTTTTCCCTCTCCTCCAGCCCTGAATCCTCTCCTGCCCCTCTGGAATGTTCCTGAGCCTCCTCAATTCTGCTTGGAGCCTCTGGATCAATCCAGCTTTTCCCATTCCCATAAATCCCACTGCAGTTTTCCTAAACTTGGGAATGGCACATTCCCACACCTTCCGAGCTCCAGCTCAGGGATTGATTCCCTGGGATTTCAGTGCCAGCTCCTGCTATTCCATAAAAAACGGGAATACTGGGAAGTGGCTCCTTGCTGAGGACATTCCAAGGACTTTCCCTCCCTGGAAGCTGGGATATTGGGAAAGCTCCTGGGCTGATCCCAAGCTTTACATCCCGGTTTTTCCCGGAATTCCAGGAGGACGAGGAAGGCTACAACGACGGCGAGGTGGACGATGAGGAGGACGAGGAGGAGCCTGGTACGGAACCAATCCCACTTTTCCTAAGGAAAAACCACCTCAATTCCGTGGAAAATGGAATTCCCGGAAAAGCAGGAATGTGGCTCCTGGAATAATAATGGGAATTCTTTCTTTTTTCCAGAGGAAGAGCGGGGCCAGAAGAGGAAACGAGAGCCTGAGGATGACGGGGATGAGGACGACTGAGCAGCTTTTCCCTGGAAAAAATTCCCTCTTGTGATTTGACTGTTTTTATCCCGGAATTCCCCCTTTTCCCACTCCCGACCCTTTGGATTTCCTTTTCTTTTCCTGTTTTTTTTTTTTGTTTTGGTTTTTTTTTTGGTTTTTTTTTTTTTTTTTTCCGGATTGTAACGTTGCTGTGGGAACCGAGCGGGAGCAGCGAGGGTGGGAAGGGAATAAAATCCTATTTTTACTGCCGCTCCTCCTCCGATTCTTTGGGAATTTTTTCCTTGGATCCTTTTCCTTGAATCCCTGGAACTGCGAGAGTTGAGTAGGAACCGAGTTGGGAATTCTCGGAGCAGAGCTTGGACATCTCGGAAGCAAAACAAGGAGAGAACCGACTTGAAATCCATGGATGAGCCGGGATTTTCCCACCTCTGCCATTCCCAAATCCACTTTTTTTGGGAATGGCAGCCGGGCCTCCTCCCTGGGGTGGCAATGGTGCCTTGCTCCATGGGGGTTTTTTTGGGAATACTGCCATTTCCAGCCCCTTTTCCCAACTTTGGGAATTCCCTCTTTGTAAATAGTGATCAAACATTGATTTTTTTGGGAATGTTGGATTTTTTGGGATGGGTTCAGAGCTGGTGACTTTGCGATCCCTGTGTGTTGTGTGTTCTCAGTTTTCCTTTAATTTGGGAGGGAATTTTAGGTTTTTTAGGAAGTTTTTTTTATTTTGGGGGTTTTTAGGGGAATTTTTGGGGATTTTCATGGCTCCAGTGCAGCCAAATCCCTGGAAATGGCAGGCATAAAAAAAAAAAATGGGGATCCCTACAAAAAATATCCCAAATTCCCAAATTTCCCGACCTTGGAAATAAACCAACTCCTCCCCTGTTTCCCAATCAGCTCCTTCTGGAATTTCCGCCCCAATCCAGGAAAAAAACACTTGGAAAATCCCAATTTTTTCACCTAGAAAGCCAGGAATTCCAGGAGAAATGCCTGAAATTCCATGGAAATTCCTGAAAATTGTATTTTCTTACCTTGTGGGAGGCAAAAAACAAGGAAAATCCTTGGGGAATGTACAGATCCTGCGGGAAAAATCCCTTTGGAAGTGACTTGGATTTCCTAGGAAAGCTTCCGTGTGTAGAAATCCAGCGGCTCCAGGTTTTTTTGGGAATTTGGGGGCCCGGCAGAGCCACCTTTGGAGTTTTTGTCTGTTTGGCTTTGAGGAATTTCAATAAAGCTTTTGATACAAATCCGGCCTCTGGAATTCTTTCTGGGAAAACAAGGATTAGCACCCCTGGAAAAGTGGGGGTTCCCACATCTCTTTTAGTGCCCTAAAAAGAAGGAATTGCAGCTCCATAAAAATGGGAATTCCCGGTGTTTTCAGCCCCTTTGGCTCCCTAAAATCCTTTGCATGAAGCCCAGGGAGAGGCTGGGGAGCTCCTGGAATGTTTTCCCTCGGGAATGGGGGGTTCTGGGGGGGTTATCCCAGGAAAACCGGAGCCTTTCCCCTGGGAAATCCTCTCCCGGCTTTGCCAGGCTGGGAAGAAGGAGCCCCTGGATCCCAGGTAAGAGGCAGCGCTCCGTGTTTCCCTCCCTCCGGAATGAGTTGGATGCTGGAAGCGTTGGGATGAGCTGGGAATGCTGGAAGGAGGATCCATGCTGGATTCCAGGATCCATCTTTGGCTTCTCCCCCCCTCCCTGGTCCGGGGGAGTGCACCCAGGAATTTTCCTTGGGATCGCCCCCAGCCCCTGGATGGAGAAGGAGAGGCGGGAACGCGGTTCTGGTGTTCTGAAAAGATTTTATTCCATCACTATCCCGTGGGAGCATAAATAAATCAGGAATGACAGCACATGGAACGCAGCAGGGAACGCAGGACACGGACGGGACAGGCCCGCGCTGGGAACTTCAGCAGCTCGGACTGAGTGGGAATTGGGATCTCCAGGAAAAACCAATGGGATTTGGTGTCATTCCCTGTGCTCCAGGCAAATCCCGTCAGTCCTGGGATTGTCCAAAGTGCTGAGCCTGGCAAGCTCCGGGTGCGTCCCTTGGGATCCATCCTCAGGATCCATCCCTTGGGCTCCATCCATGGGGCAGCACCCCCAGGAATATCCCGGGATCCCACCACGGGAAGGATCCTGAATTTCCACCATTGGAAGGATCCCAGATTCCCACCATGGGAAAGGATCCTGGGACAGATCCCAGGCTCCAGCTGCAGGAAGAATTCCAGGTTCCCACTACAGGAAGGATCCCAAGTTACAATGATGGGAAGGATCCCGTCCTGCTCCCATGGGAAGGATCCCAGGCTCCCACCATGGGAATGATCCCAGTTTCCCACCACAGCAAGGATCCCGTCCTGCTCCCATGGGAATGATCCCAGTTTCCCAGCACGGGAAGGATCCCGGATTCCCACACGGAAACCCCCTTTGACGATCAAGCCCTTCCCACTTCCCGCCCCTTTTCCAGTTCCGCTCCCACTGTCACATTTTTTGCATAGGAAAAAAAATTAATAGCAAGGAAGCGTCGCGCTTTCCCGGGAATCTGCCCCGGGCTGGCTCATCCCAACGGACAGGACATGGCTCCGACTTACTGGGAGCCTCCAGGCTTTCCCAGGAATCAGGTTAGAGCGGGATTAGTGCCAGACAAGACACGCAGGACGTGATTCCAGGCTCTCGGCAGCCGCGGACTCCGGAATTGTGTTCTGGGTGAGTGGATCCAAGGAATTCAGGAGTAGAAACAAAGGAATTTCTTTAGAAAACATCCCTGGAGTCAATTGTTCTTGGGGCTGTTCCGGAAGTTCTTTAATTCCAGCTGCAGCTGCCGGATCCGAATGTCCTTCTGCGAGAGCTCGTCCTTCAGCCGCCGGATCTCGTCCTGCTGCCGGAAGAACATCCGGAGCAGCTGGAAAACAAGGATGGAGATGAAGGGTGGGATCACATCGGCTCATCCCAGGATTTTGCCAGATCCATGCTGGGAATGGGCCGTAACTTGGCTGATTTTGGGGACAAGGGATGGATTTGAACTGAAGGATGGGAGATTTTGATGGGATTTTGGGAAGGAATTCCCAGAGGAGCTGATCCCTGGAAGTGTCCAAGGCCAGATTGAAGCGGCCTGGGATAGTGGATGGTGTCCATGGAAAAGGTGTCCACCATGGGAAAGGTTCATGGGATGGATCCCACATTCCCACCATGGGAAAGGTTCATGGGATGGATCCCACATTCCCACCATGGAAAAGGTTCATGGGACGGATCCCAGGCTCCCATCCCTGGAGGGATCCCACACTCCTGCCCCTGTTGGGATGGAGACTGGCAGCACGGTGCCTTTCCAGGTTCATCCCCAGATCCCATTCCCATTCCCATTCCCCAGGGCTGCCCCACCTCGTTCTCCGTGCGCGGTGGGACGTTCTCCAGGAGGTCGATCCCGTTGACCACCACGCTCTTCTTCTCCCTCACCGGCGCCTTGAAGACAATCTTGGAATTCCTCTTGTATCCCTCCTTCAGCGACACCAGGATGGGATCTGTGGGAGAGCTGGCGGATCAGCAGGATGCGGTGGTCTTTTCCCACATCCCGGATATTTTTGGGATACCTCCCCGGTGGGTTTACCTCTGTTGACCCCACTGAGCCACTCGTCTGGGGTCAGGGCTGGCTCCGTCCCTGGAGTCATGGGATAAATGTCCTCCTGGTACGTCTCCGACTGGGAAAAGGGGAAGAGAAGAGCAATGGGATCTGGGAATCTGCTCCCTGGGCCCAGGGAAATAATCCCCTGCCCCACAGAGGGAATAAACACCCGGATAGTTGGGAAACTCTAGGCACAGGGAGGAAATTTGGGAAGTGCTGGCTGGAGCAGAGAACCTGGGATCGTGTCCTTCACCCAGCCCTGGCCAGCAGCTGGATTTGCTTCCCAGAAAACCCCAATCCAAGAGATATTTTCCCCAAAATTCCCAAAACTCAAGTGAGACCAACCCCTTGGAGAAACATTCCCTAAAAACATTCCCGTTTAATTGTGGTTGAAATTCCATGGGATGAGTGAGGATGGAGAGGTCCAGGGATGGTGGGGACAGAGCCATGCATGGGATTGGCCAAAGTGGGGCATGTCCATGGCTCCAGAGCCAGCCGGACATTCCAGATCCCCCTCATTCCCACATTCCAGGACTCACCCGCCTCGGGACGATCATGGAGATGGGCTCGATGAGCCCCTTGAGGGTGATGAGTTTGTAGAAACGGAAAACTTCGCAGGCGGAGACGTCCAGGCCGTGCTTCGGCATCACCCCTGCGGAGAGCACCGGGATCAGCCATCCGTGGAATTCCCAGCATGGAAAATCCCAAACCAGAGAGGCACCGGGGTCACCCGTCCACGCAATTCCAGCATGGAAAATCCCAATCCCAATCCCAACCCAAACCCATTCCAATCTAAACCCAATCCAAACCCATTCCAAACCCATTCCAATCCAATCCAAGCCCATTCCAAACCCAATCCAAACCCTTTTCCTTGCTGCCACTCCATCCAGCACCTTCCCCATCCACCTTTTCCATGCTCTGGGAAGTGGAGCAGCAGCACCTCCACCCTTACCCAGCCCTTTCTGCGGAGCTGGCGAGCGGAATTCCATGAGATAACTCAGGTAGGGCTTTTCCGAGCCGATCTCGTAGTACCGGATGTTGCCGTCGCCCTGGAGCAGCAGGGAAGAGGGATGGGAATGGATTTGGAAATGAGAAGGTGGGAAAAACCAGGATTAGGAGCACTTAGAAGGCAGGAATGGGTGGGATACTGGGGAGGAATTGTTCCCTGGGAGGGTGGGGAGAGGCTGGGCTGGAATTCCCAGAGAAGCTGTGGGTGCCTCTGGATCCCTGGAATATCCTGGGATGGACGGGACTTGGAGCAGCCTGGGATGATCGAATGTGTCCCATGGCAGGGACATCCATGGGACTGGATGACATTGAAGCTCCCTTTCCATACAAACCATTCCAGGATGCAAATTCCAGCCCCAGTCCCTTGGGCAATGCTGGGACATTTTTCTGGGAATGGCACATCCGGATGCTCCGTGCATCCCTACCTTCCCAGCCAGGTACAGCATGTGGGTGTCAGCGTCGTAGAAGGGGAAGAGGAGCCCCGAGAGCCCATCAATCTCCTCCTCGATCAAAGGCATGGATAAATCTTCCTGGAAAACAGGAAAATCCTGGTGTTAGCCGTGCCCTGATGGCAGTGGCATGGAGAAAGAATTCCGGCAAGGATGGAGCAGGGATCTGGACAGGGCTGGAGAGGGATCCCGGTGGGGTTGGAGCAGGAATTCTGGCAGGGATGGAGCAGGAATTCCAGCAGGTACGGAGCAGGATCCTGGCAGGGATGGAGCAGGAATTCCAGCAGGGACAGAGGGGGATCCTGGCACCCACCTGGTCCCAGAGGGCGATCTGCCGGGTGTTCCAGCGGGACACTCCCGTGGTCAGAAGCCGTTTGGTGCTTCCCAGGAAAACCACGCGGTTGACGCGGTGGTTCTTGCAGCTGGCCTCCTGCAAGACAGGAATGGGCTCTGGAATTCCCCTTGGATCCAGCTCTCATCCCAGGAAAGCCCTTTCCTTGCACCCCCAGCCTCATCCTGGGGAAATTCCAGCTCTGTCCTTCGGCACCTGTCCCGGGGCAAGTCGACATTCCCATTTTCCCGAGGATCAGGGAGAACCCACCATCCTCCTCCAAACCTCCAGCACCTTCCCCTTTTACTCCCACCGTTTTCCACAAATCCTTAATTACCAACGGAATCAAAGCCTCCAACTCCTCCACTTGGGATGAGGCCAAGCCTTTCCCACCATCTCCACAACCAGGCTGGCAACCGGATTCCACCACGCGGAAAACACCGCACGCGTGGGAGCACCTGCGGCACTTGAGGGGTATTCTCCCAACATTCCGTAGGACCCTTCCCTGAAAATCTCACTCCAGGCGCCCGCCCCACCTGCAGGACCCTCCCGGAGCGCGGCTCCACCACGCGCAGCTTCTTGTCCTTGCAGGTGGTGGCCAGGAGGCTGCCGTCGGTGTTGAAGGACATGCAGAGGATCACGTCCGTGTGGCAGTCGATCATCTTCACCGGCTCGCCGATGTCCAGGTTCCAGATCAGCACCTGCGGGAAGAGCCTCTGGAGCAACCCGGGATGGCGGGAGGTCTTCCTGCTCTGTGGAAGCTGTTCCTGGTCTATGGAAGATGTTCCTAGTCTATGGAAGATGTTCCTTGTCTATGGGAGCTGTTCCTGGTCTATGGAAGATGTTCCTGGTCTATGGAAGCTGTTCCTTGTCTATGGGAGCTGTTCCTTGTCTATGGGAGCTGTTCCTGGTCTATTGAAGCTCTCCCAGATCTATGGAAGTTGTTCCTGGTCTATGGAAGCTGTTCCTTGTCTATGGAAGCTGTTCCTGGTCTATGGAAGATGTTCCTGGTCTATGGAAGCTGTTCCTTGTCTATGGAAGCTGTTCCTAGTCTATGGAAGATGTTCCTGGTCTATGGAAGCTGTTCCTGGTCTATGGAAGATGTTCCTTGTCTAAGGGAGCTGTTCCTGGTTTTTGGGAGCTGTTCCTGGTCTGTTGAAGCTCTCCCAGATCTATGGAAGTTGTTCCTGGTCTATGGAAGCTGTTTCTGGTCCATGGAATGTCTCCCCGATCCATGGAATGTGTCCCTGTCTATGAAAGCTCTCCCTGACCTGTGGAAGATGTTCCTGGACGATGGAAGCTGTTCCTGATCCATGGAATGTCTCCTTGACCTACAGAATGTCTCCCTGATCCATGAAATATCTCCCTGGCCTATGGAAGCTGCTCCTGGTCTCTGGAATGTCTCCCTGGCCTCTGGAATGTCTCCCTGGCCTATGGAAGCTCTCCCTGATGTGTGGAAGCTGTTCCTGGACTATGGAATGTCTCCCTGGTCGTGGAAGCTATTCCTGATCTATGGAAGCTGTTCTTGATCTGTGGAAGGTGTTCCTGGCTTTTGGAAGCTGTTCCTGGTCCATGGAATGCCTCCCTGATCTACAGAATGTCTCCCTGGTCATGGAAGCTGTTCCTGGTCCATGGAATGCCTCCCTGGCCTATGGAAGCTCTCCCTGGCCTATGGAAAGCACGGAACGAGACGAGCTTTAAGCTCCCTTCCAACCCAAACCATTCCAGCGATCCCGCTCCGGCCATCCACGGGTGACCCCCAGCGGTGCCGGAATCCGGGGAAGCCCTTTGGAACGGCAGTCCCAGGAATGCTGACCTTGTAGTCGTAGCCGGCGCTGAAGAGGATGTTGTTGGTGGTGGGGTGCCACTCCACGAGCCCGACGCGGCGGCTGTGCCCGTACAGCTCCAGCACCGCCTCCGTCATGTTCCGCTTCAGTCCCCCCTCCGGAATCTCCCAGATCCGCACCTGGAACGGGGTTCGGAGCCGCGTCCCAACTCCCGCCCCTGGAATTCCTGTCCTGCCCAGGAATTCCAGGATCAGCCCTGCTGCTGATGGCCCTCAAGGAGGAGCAAGGAGTCCATGGGATCCCTTGGGGAAAATCCAGCCAGGGTGGATCCACACCCGGAATGGGGTTTGGACCATCCCAGCTCCTGGCCTTGAAAGCTCCTTCCCAGAAACATCCAGAATCCTGGAATTCCCAAAAACAAAGCTTTCAGGAATTCCAGGATCAGCCCTGCTACTGATTGTCCCTCAAGGATAAGCAACAAATCCTTGGGATCCCTTGGGAAAAATCCAACCAGGACAGGTGGTGTTATCCAGACAGGGTGCTGGAATGCTCACCCTGAATTCCCAGATTCCCAGCCCTTCCTGACCCTACAGACTCCACATTTTGGGATCCTTTGGGATAAAGACTCCCAGATTTTCCAGGTTAGTTGCTCTAAAAACCACCAGGGATTTTCCCAGGATTTAGCTCCTCTTTTCCATTGTCTCCATGGAGGTTTCCAACCTGAACCTTCCCCGGGACTTCCCCCAGCTGCCCCCTCCTGTCAGGGACTTTTGGAGAGCCTGGAATTCCCTTCAGAATTCCCATTTTTCTCCAGGCTGAGCATTCCCAGCTCCCTCAGCTGCTCCTCATGGGAATTACCCTCTGGATCCTCTGGATTTGTGTCCAGAAAATAAAGAACAGGAGGGAATTCTGGCCCAGGAGCCAGGCTGGGCACAATTTGGGATTGCCTTTGATCTCCTGTCCCTCAGCATTCCCAAAACAAATGCCATGGAAATATCAAAATGGGGAATCAATGGGATGGGGAAGATGGATGGATCTGGGAATCGCATCCCGGAATTCCGGCTCACCGAGGTGTCCTCGGAGCAGGAGGCGATAATGTTCTCAATGAAGGGATTCCACTTGATGTCCAGCACATTTCCCTGGTGACCACAAACTTTGGGATAGTTCGGCTCGATCCGGCCAGTCTGGAGTGGGAAAGCAAGGAAAACATCGGGAAAAAACATCAGATTTTGGGAGAAATTGGTGTTTCCAGGGATGGGAAATTGTTGGAGAAGGGAGATCTGTCTCAGCCTGGGATGGGCCAAGCCAGGGACTGAGTTTATCCAATATTCCCAGTATTCCCAGCTGATCCATGGATGGGAAGGGGTTTCTTCAGACTCCATGGAGCAGGGAAAGGACAGCTGGGAGCTTAGTGGGAATTCATGGAATCATGGAATATTGGGGTTGGAAAAGCACTCCAAGATCGTGGAGTCTCACCATTCCCAGCACTGATCCATGTTCCCAAGGGCTGCATCCACAGGGATTTTCAGTCCCTCTGGGAATGGAGACAGGGCTGGAAAACCCTTTCCATGAGGGAATTTTCCCAATATCCAAACTTCTCCTTTCAGGATCCAAATCCATGGGCGAAAGGACCGGAAGAGATTCCAGAGGCTCCAAAGCCCCTCGGCCGTTGGATCCTGCGTGAATCCCAGAATCCCAGAACAGTTTGGGTGGGAAGATCTTCCAGGAGATCCATTCCCAATCCCTGTTATTGCCCAGGATCCCCTTCCCCATCCCAGGTTGCTCCAAGCTCATCCAACCCAGCCGGGAGTCGGAGCATTTGGAATTTCCCTCCCAGATTTCGGATTTCCTTCCCACACTTCAGGATCACCATTTTCCAAGGTTCTCCTCCATGGAACAAACCCCAAATTCTGGGATCGCACAACTCCTGCTAATCCCCAATCCATGACCCGGCAGGTTGGGGGATCTTTCCATGCGGGATTTCCAAAGCTTTTACGGAGCCTCTTGGGAAGATTCCCACCGGGATGGGAGCCTTTTCCATTCCCAAGGAAGCTCCGTGTCCGGATGCCACCCTGGTGTCCTTCCCTGCTCCGTTCTGGCTCCGTGCCGGAGCGGCGCTCGGAGCGTGCGGAATAACTGGGTCAGCTCGGCACGGCCGCTGAATATTTCATGGATTTTCCCTCCCGACTTTTCCCGTGCTGAGCTCCCGGCTCCGTTTATTGGGAACAAAGGAACGTGCTGGGAATTCTGCCCTCGGCAGCACCAGGAAGTCGGATCAGGGCCAGGAATGGCTCCAGAGCTGTCACTCCCAAGGTTTCTTGGGATTCATTTCTTCCCTCGAGCTGCAGGGAGGAATTTGGGAAGGAAAAATTCCCAAAGATGAGACAGAGAAGGAAAAGGAAATGTGGGAATGTCAGTGATTCCTTAGTTCTGCCTCCCAGTGAATTCTTGGGATGCAATTCCTGGTTTTATCTTTGTTACATGAAATATTCCAGCCCCCATCACTTATCCAGAGGATCAGCTTATCCCGCTTTTCCCGAATTTCTGATTTGCATTGCCAGGACTTCATTCACACCCTGGTCACAGCAGAAATTCCCAGAGAAACCGCAGAATTCCAGGTGGATGGAATTTTTACAGCACAAATTCAAATTCCACCTCTTTTCTGGTTTCTTTTTTTCTTTTCTTTCCTTTTCTTTTTCTTTTATTTTCTGATTCTGAGGAATCAGCCAAGTGAATGCCTTTTCCCATAAAATTTGATGGATTTTCCCAAAATTTATCAGGATTTATTAGGAGGACAGCTCTGAGTTTGGTTATTAGGGATCGTTTCTTCCCAAGAAGTCTGGAATTTTGATACAAATTGGTTGCACACACCGGGAAAAGGACAAGGAATGTGCTATTCCAGGGCACCTGGAAAAGGCGAAGGAAAAATAAAGGCAATAAAAGGGAAAAACCCCTAAAAAAAAATCCCGGATTCCGGCTGCGTTTATCCCGTTTTTCAGTGGGACCTTGCCGGCAGCCTGAGTTAATCCAAGGTGAATCCTAATCCCTGGATCCCTGATCCCCGGCTGAGGGAAGCTCGGTGACCCAGATTCCGGCCCCGCAGGGACAGCCTGGAGCTCTCCTGGCTCTGGCGGCTCCGAGGTTTTCCACGGAAAAGGCTGGAAGGAGGAAATCTCCCGGCAGCTCCCGCCCCTCCCTTCGCTGAGGCGCTTGGATAAAGGGAAAATCCTTTGGGTTATGTTGGGAAAAGGGAGAATTATTTGGAAAAACTGTGAATTCTGGGGACTGGGGGGTGGAGAGGGAATTCTTTCCCTGGGAGTGGCTGGAATAGCAGCAGGGAGAGGGGATGGAAACCCTCTGGATTCTGGAATCAGGGAACGGGATTGAGGAATCTGTGTAGAGAATCCCAGGAATTCCAGGGGACTCAGAGCCGTCTCTGGGATGAGAGGGATGGAATTTCCCTCCCTGATGGAAATCTGGGATGAATTTTCTGTGGGATCTGTCAGCATCAAATCCAAGGGGGTGGGAGAAATCCTCAATTCCCATCCTTGGAGCAGCACGGCTCCACCCTGGCAACGGCTGAGCTCCACTTTTCCCAGAAATCCATCCAGCAGGAAGTCTTGGATAAATTATTTCAATATCAGAAATTTCCCAAACCTGCTTTTCCCCCGGAAAACGCAAACCCAGGAGCGCTTCCAAACCCACATATTCCACAGAAAGCTCCACAAATGTGGAAAAATCCCTTCATTCCACTCCATCCTTCAATCCCACACGGAAAACCTCAGGGATGGGTGCAGCATCCGTCTGGCAGCACCTCTGGATCCCATTCCTGGATGGAAAATCCCAAGGAAACACGGAAAGACACTCGGGGAGGTCTGGGAATTCCATACTCTATCCTATCCCAAATCCAGGCTTTTCCCTATCCCAATTCCAGCCTTTCCCCCATCCCAAATCCAGCCATTCCCACAATCCTGGCAGTGGCGGGAGCAGGAGTTTGGATTTCAGCTTCCTCCGGATAAACAGAGGCTGCCCCTTCCCGCTGCCACTCCCGTCGGGAGAGAGCATTGGCTGCCTCTGGAAAACAGCTCCTCATTCCTGGCAGGAACAGAAATCCCTCTGTTTCCATGGAAGTGACTCCCTGCAACGGGATCCGTGGGGATCCCAACAAAACCCTTATCCCAGATCCCTCTCCAGCTTTCCCGGGGTTCCTTTAGGCCCTGCAGGGGGCCCTGAGGATTCACTGGATCCTTCCCTTCTCCCGGGGAACATTCGCAGCATTCCCAGCCTGGCTCCAGAAGGATGGGATGTGACGGCACTGAGCTGCTTCCTGATGGAATTGCAGCATCCAAGGATTTTGTTCCCTGGCTCGCAAGAAGGGAATATTTTCCAAGGGGTCTCCAGGACCAAATCCTCAAGTCCGGGTCGGAAAGGGCTTGGAGCATCCTGGGATAGTGGGAATTGTCCTTGTCCCATCCCAAATCCAGCCCTGTCCTGTTCATGGAATGGGATGAGCTTTAAGGTCCTTTCCAACCCAAACCATTCCAGGATTCCGGGATTCTCCCATTCCCAGGGAGCCAATCCTGCTCTTCCTGATCCTTCGCCCACTCCCTCGGGATATTTTTATCCTGGTGCTGGGGACAGGCTCGTTCCCAATCCCGAGGCTCCAGGATCTGGGAGGAGGGAGGAGCAAAGCTCCCTTTTCCCAACCCACACATCCCTTGGATCGCTCCATGAAAACCCCGGGGTGTGGATTTGGGATGAGCAGATGGCCCGGCCCAGATTCCGGGAGCTTTGCTGAGGGCAAAATCCAGGGAAAAGATCCAAAAATACGGCAGCAAATCCACGGAGCGGCTCCGCGGTATCCGGGTTACCTTCATTAGCTTCTAATTATGGATCACAATTAATTAGGGAGCTGCTGATTTCCAAGGAAAATGAGTTTCTCCTTAATGAGCTAATCAGGCTCCGGATAAAAAAAAAAAAAAAAAAATCGGGAATTTATTAACTCCTCCAGCATCCAGGGCTGCTCCAGGCGGGATTGACCAGCTGGATATCCCAGGATTTCAGAGGATCCCTTTGGAACGCCATCCCTGCTTTTATCCCGCCGGGATTTTGCCAGGAAAAAAGTGATATTTGCTGGGAATGTGGGGCTGCTCCTCAGGATTCGGGATCGAGGGGGTGTGGATGGTGATTCCAGCTGGGATCCGTGAGGAAGGAGCGGGGATGAGGCCGGAGCTGGAGCGCTCCGGGTGCTCAGACAAAGCTCCCGGGTTTTTTTTTTTCTGGGAATATTAATGAGGCTCAAGCTGTGCTCTGCAATTAAATCCTGATTAGAATTCCTTCCATCTGGAGCTGCCTCCGGAATGAACAAGGAATTCAGGAGAGGCGGGAATGTTGCACAGGGAAAGGGGTGGGTGAAGGAATGATGGGATGGAGGGAAAGAAAACCAGGGAGAGCTGCTCCCTCTCCCAGCTGGAATTTGGGATCTGGGAATTTGGGAATGCAGCTCAGCCATGGCAAAATTCCTCCTGGGAATGAGGCTGGGAGCATCCCAGAGCTGCAGGTGCCCAGGGACGGGATGTGGATTCCCGCTCGGAATACAGGAATAGCCCAGGTGAGTGCCTGAATTTTGGGAGCAATCCCAGAATCTCAGAATCCAGCAATGGGTTGCATGGGAAGGGATTTCATCCCATTCCAATATCCCAGGTTGCTCCAACCTGGCCTTGAACATTCCAGGGATAGGGAAGCAGCAACTTTCCTGGGAACTGTGCCAGGGCCTCCCTCCCTGGAAAAATTCCTTTGATCTCATTTTAACGGATTCTCTTCCCGTCAAAACGCTCCCCTTTCCCTCTCCAAGGCAAATTCCAGGCTCAAGGTCACTGCTGCTGCTTTTCCTGGGAGCTGCGGATCGCACGGGATCGGCTGGAGCAGCCGCTGGATTGATGGGAATTTCAGCTTCAGATGGGCAGATCCCAGGGGAATTCCTGGGAAAAGCGAGGGGAATCTCGGATAGAAATGGAAAAGGGAGGAGGGGGAAGATCCCGCCTGGATCAGGGATGAGAGGGATAAACCCCTTGCAAAATTCCTGCTTTTCCCATGGAAAGGAGCTGTTCTAGTGCCCAACCACCCTTTGGAGGAGGAATTTTTTCCCAAAAATCCAACCTTAAATCCCTGGCGTGCCTCCATCCATTCCCTGGAAAACCCAAGGAAAGGGAAGGAGCAGTGGGATGAGGTTGCAAGGAGCTGATTCCTTGGAATACTGGGATTTGAGTGGCACCTGGCACTGTAATGGGTCAGGCTGAAGACATTCCCAGTGTCTGAAAGTACGGGAAAACCTCCTGGAGAGATTCCAAAAATGCTTTGATTGGATGTTTGGATTCTTCCTTAAAAAACCCCAATTCACCAGTTCCACAGGAAACCCCAGGAAAAGCGGCAGGGGTTCGGATATTTTGGGGTGGCTCCAACTGGGAATCCCATTCCCGGGAGCCATGAGGAAATCCCAGAAAAAGCAGCAGGAATGTGGACACTTTTTTGGGAATTCCCATTGGGAATCTCACCTGCTCTGGCAGGATGACGAGGAAACCCCAGTAAAAGTAGTAGGAATTGGGACACTTTGGGAATCCCATCCAAGAAAATATTTGGACACTTTGGGATGGCTCCATGTAGGAATTCCCATTGGGAATCTCACCTGCTCTAGCAGGATGACGAGGAAACCCCAGGAAAAGGAGATTTGGACATTTCTTTGGGGAATTCCCATTGGGAATCTCACCTGCTCCAGCGGGATAATAAGGAAACCCCAGGAAAAGGAGATTTGGACATTTCTTTGGGGAATTCCCATTGGGAATCTCACCTGCTCCAGCGGGATAATAAGGAAACTCAGGAAAAGGAGATTTGGATATTTCTTTGGGAATTCCCATTGGGAATCCCACCTGCTCCCACGGGACAATAAGGAAACCCCAGGAAGAGGAGATTTGGACACTTTTTGGGAAATTCCTGTCAGGAATCTCACCTGCTCCAGCGGGATGACAAGGAAACACCAGGAAAAGGAAATTCGGACAGTTTTTTTGGGGAATTCCTGTGAGGAATCTCACCTGCTCCAGCAGAATGATGAGGAAACCCCAGAAAAGGAGATTTGGACATTTCTTTGGGAATTCCCGTGGGGAATCTCACCTGCTCCAGCGGGATGACGAGGAAGGAGCCGCCGCCGGCGCTCTCGGTGACGATGGCCAGGAACCGCGCGTTGACGGCGCAGAAATGGTTGTCGTGGACGTTCTTGGTGATGGGAATCCCGTCGAAGCAGTGCTCCCGGCTCGCCGCCTTCCCGTAAACATTCCGGAACTTGGAGCTGCGGTACTGCGGCCGCCATGACATCCCCTGCCGGAAAAACGCAGGGATCAGCATTCCCAAAAAAAAATAAAAACCCCCCCGCACTCCTGGCTGTCCTCGTGGGCATGGAAGCGTCGGGATGGGCCAAATTCCAACATGAGCATTCCCGAAAAATTTAAAGCATCCCCCGGAGAAGGAATAGTTCCTAACAGGCTCAAAAAGAAAGCTCAGCATTCCCAAAACAACCATTCCCAAAACAACCATTCCTGGTTGCTCTCCTGTTTTTACCGTTGACATGGGAGCATCGGGATGGGCCCATTCCAACATGAGCATTCCCGAAAAATCGAAAGCGTTCTCCCGGTGCTGGAATGGCTCCCAAAAGGCTCAAAAAGAAAGCTCAGCACTCCCAAAAAAACCCCATTCCCATAAAACCATTCCTGGTGGCTCTCCTGTTTTTACCATGCACGTGGAAGCATCGGGATGGGCCCATTCCAACATGAACATTCCCAAAAAAACCTATGGCACCCAAAAAACCCCGGTGCTGGAAACGTTCCCAAAGGCTCAGAAAGCCACAGAATTCCAGCTGCTCCCCTTTGGAGCGGGAATGCTCATCCAGGACACGCCTGGGTGCACATGACAAAGGAATTCCAGCTTGGAATGTGATGGCTTGGAAATGGATGGCGGGAGAGCGGGAATTGGGGCGGGAGGGGGACGGAGGGAGCATTGGGAATATTCTGCGTTTCCTGCAGGTTTCCGTGCATGGAGCAGCCCAGGATCCAGCAGGGATCCCAAGGATCCACGAGCTGATCCTGGTGGAAAAGGACCCAGGAGTGAATCCCCAAAGAACTCAAGAGTAAATCCCCAGCACTGCCCTCATTCCCTGGGAATAGCAATGCCTGGAAAACAGGGGAAAGAACCCAGGAGTAAAATTCCGTCGGCTCTGCCCTCATTCCCTGGGAATAGCAATGCCTGGAAAACAGGGAAAAGAACCCAGGAACAACCCCCCGGCCGTGCTTGGACATTTTCCCGCTTTTCTGGCAGCTCCGGCCTTTCCCGGAGCAGCAGCAGGAGCAGCTCTTGTCTCCATGTGCTTGGCTTTTCAAAGGATCCTTTCATCCCTCGGGAGTCTTGGAAACAGCGGGAGCGAGGGAAAAATCGGGAAAGGAGCTGTGGCCACAACAACAGGCACAGCCCCGGCCCTAATCCTGAAAAAACCTGGATATCCTAAAAATAGCTCCCGGTAATCCGCCCCGAGCGTCCGAGCTCACGGGGAAATTAATTCCTGCCTTCACCTGGAATTTTTGGGAGGAAAAATTCCTCACTTCCAGCCTTTTTTTTCCCCTTGGAATTGTGCCCGTGCCCTTTTGTGTTGTCACATGGCACTTCCCATGTCCTGAGGATTTTTAATGGGAATAAAGAGATCTTCCCTCGTTCTTCCAACGGATTTGGTTTTGAGTAGCAGGGGGGAAAAAAAGGAGGGATTCGCTTGGAAAAATCACTGGGAAAAGGAAATCCAATGGAAAAAACCTCTGGGGTTTTCAGGAAGGGGATGCAGGAGACAGAGCCTCTCCCAAATCCTGTTATTCCCAATTTTCCTGCCTCTCTCCTGGCACAGAGGTTGTGACAAAAATTCCCTGTCCGGGATCTTCTGGATAAAATCAAGGCTGAGTTTTGTAGGAATTTGGGGATATGCAGAAATCCCAAATCCAAGCCGATCCCAGCCTCGGGTGTGGGGTTGTTTTCCCTCCCTCCCTCCGCATCCGGAGCATCCCTGGAAGTTTTTTTCCCATGGGAAAGGTCAGGAATGCTGGAGTTTGACATTTCCAGCATCAATGGCTCATTAAGGCTGGGCACAAACAGGAGCCGCTTTTCCAGAGGAAAATCAAGGATCTGGAATTCCCAGGAAGGAGCTGGAGCTGCCCAATCCCACCCCATGGACATCCTTCAATTATTTTGTGCAGAAAACGGGGGGAAAAAAGTTAAAATCTGGAATTTTTTTAGGGAAAAATCCCCTCTGGACTCGCTGCTGTGCCACATTCCTGGGGGTATTCCTGGGATAGACCCGTGATCCCAAATTTCTGGTGGATTCCACGTGGAATCTGCACCTGGGAGCATCAGGGCTGAAGGGTTTGGGAGCCTCAGGGATTAAATCCCAAAGGATTTGGTCTGTCTGGGAGTGGATTTGGGGAGATCCCAGACCCCGCCCAGCCGGAGCCAGGGGATATTTTGGGGTTGATATCCTGGAAATTTTGGGGGATTGAAATCCAGGCTGGAAAACCTCAGAACAGACTGGGAGAGCCCCTCCAAAGCCACCTCCCCATCCCAATCCAGGAATTTTTCCCACTGGGAGGGGAAAACTCAGGAGCAGGAGCTGACCTGGAATTCCCAATCCAGCCCAGCCGTGGGGCTGGAATTCCTGATCCAACCTCACTGCAGGGCTGGAATTCCCAGTCTGACCTTGCCATGGGTTTGGAATTCCCAATCCAGCTCTGGCCCTGGGTTTGGAATTCCCAGTCCCACCTCACCACAGGATCGATGCTCCATCCCAAAGAAATTCGGGATGTGGGGTGGGAATGCCAGGAATTCCCTTCATTCTGAGGGATCTCCGGGGCGGAGCCGGCCCCTGGGGGGCTCTGGGCTGGCTCAGGATGAGTTTTCCATGGATTTTGTCGCAGCCAGGTGGGAATTCCCGGCCCGGGACACTCACCAGGCCGCGCTTGCTCCCCAGCACCTCAGACTTGTGCAGGTCCCTCATGGAGCTCTGTGCAGAGAGGGAAAGGAAAAAATTCCATTCATTTCCCAGGAATTCCAGGGAAAACGCCCCAACCCTTCCTGCCACTCAAGAGGGCCGGGATCCGACCCCCAGCAGGGAATTTTTGGTGGTTCCAATCCCGTTTCCTCCTCCCACTTTTGGGGAATTCCACACGGCAGCCAAAGTCCTTCTGGAGGACGAAGGAATTCCATAAAAATAATGGATTTATGGTTGAAAAAAAGCAGGATTATGGGATTTGGGAAGGAATTCTTCCCTAGGGAAGTGGGGAGGGGCCGGGCTGGAATTCCCAGGAAAGCCGGGGCTGTCCCTGGATCCTTGGGATGTTCAAGGTGAGGCTGGATGGGGCTTGGAGCAGCCTGGGGCAGCGACAGAATCCATGGAATGGAGGAGGTGGGGCAATTCCGGCTGGGAATCTCCCAGCTGAGGTTTTTCCAGCCTAGGGTTTCCCTGGAGTCCAACTTTTCAAGGATTTCAACTTCCTAGAAATCCTGGGAACGGCCTCTCCTCTTCCCAAACACTGGGAAAAAGCTCCAAGTGAGTCCCAACGGAGCTGAGCTATTCCCAGGAATCCTCATCCCTCCTGGATCCTGGAGCTGCTTCCCAAGTTTCCATGGGTCTCATGGAATTCTTGGAAAGGTGCAAAAGCCACCCCTGGCACCCTCAGGGAGCCGAGTTTGGATCATTTTCCATCTGGGAAAACTCCCGGAGGAGGAAAACCAAACTTTCCCAGGCCCCACGTGCCGAGAACAATCCCAAAATTCCTCCTCCGGCAAAAATTCCGGAAGCAAGCCCAGTTGTCGTCCCACTCTGTTTTCCCAGTCCTTCCCACCTCAGGAAGCTCCGGATGGAGAACAAAACATTCCCAGCCCCCGGAGCTGCCCTGGGGCACCACCCCCGGGAATTTTCCCTCCTCCAGCTCCTTGGAATTCCATTTTCTTGAGGGGAAAACACATCCCAGGCTTTTTCCTGACTTCTTGGGAAGTTGGAGAGGGGGGAAAAGTCGCTTTTCCCATTGGAATGAGCCAGGGATTCATCCATCAGAATTACTTCACACCCCGACACAAATCCCTGGATCCAACAGGATTTTCCAGCCAGGATCCAGCAGTTTGGATCTGTCCCAGGAAAAGGCTCCGGTGGGAAGATCTCATCAATCCAACCTTTCCTAAAGGAAGCTTTTTAATGGGAAAATGGGGAAAAGCCACTTTAAAGCGGGAATTAAAAGGATGGAATTGTCATGGAAAAGGGACCCCACAGGGAAAAAATTCCTTAGGGAGGTGCCAGGTGGGAAAGGATCAAAAAAACTGCTGGAAAAAATCCACCGGGAGCAGAAATGTTGGGATAGCCTGGAAAAAATCCCTTCCCAAGCCCCAGCTCTGCACGGGACAGGGAGATTTATTTATCCTAGGAAATTTCTTTTTTCCTGGGATTTTTCCAAAAAAAAGCCCTGGGAAGCAGCTCTGACAGCTCTCCCTTTCCGCGTAAAAAATTCCAAATATTCCCAGGAATGAGCACCCTGGGGTGGCTCCAAACCCGGAACCCCCAAAGGATTTTTTTTTTTTTTTGGGAAGTTTCTCCCAGGCTTTTCCAGCAGAAATCAAGGAGCGGCCAAATCCACCAACAAGAGAGGAAGGAAAACAGGCAGGATCCAGTCAGTATTCCAGGCTGCACATTCCCGTTTCCCAGGAAGCGCCGGGGGAGGCTGAAGGTCACGGGATGGCACCGACCCCCCTTCCCAACCCTCGGGAATCCCGGACAAGCCTTTCCTTGTGCTCCGGCTCCCGGCATGAGCGGAACCCTCCGGAGGCAGGCGAGGGAGCCTTGTTCTCCTTTTTCCCTTGTTTCCCTTGTTTTCCTTGTTCTCCTCGTTATTCCGGGAGCGGCCGCGATGTCCCTCCCCTGCCCCGGGATGTGCCTCAAATCCCACTTTTTCCCAGGTTTTCCTTGGATTTTTTTGGGAATCAGGGTTCCCTGCTCTTCACCCAAGGCTCTCTTTTCCAGAAGTTGGGATGATCCCATCGGGAGCTGGGATCCCTCTGGACGAACTTGCATGGAATTCTCACCCCGGGCCAATTTTTCCACCCATTTTGCATCATTTCCTTAATTAATTCCCTTCATCCTCATTCCCACAAACACTGAACATCCCAGGGATTTGATCCACAGAGAATTTTTGGGATAAGGGGTCAATTTCTGGGAGGAAATCCATGGAAGCTGCCGCCGCAATCCTACGGATAAAAAACCATGGAAGCCCATTCCCAGCTTCCAGAGGAGGAATTTGGGATGGGATGGGAGATTCCCACTGAATCCCGGGGGTTCCCATCCCTCTCCGGGTCCCTCGGGATCCTCACCTGCCCTGCTCGGCCCCGCGCTGCTCGGGCGCCTCCGGATCGCCCGGGATGGACGCGGAGCTCAGGGAATCAGGGCTGCTCCGGGAGCCTGGAAAAGAAGGAAACCCTTTGGATCCCAGCTTCCAACTGGGATCGATCCCGAGCCGCAGCGCTGCCGAAACTGGGAAACTGGGATAACGATCTGGAGGATTTTGGGATGAACTCCAGTCCCTGGCGGCATTCCAAGGGTTGGGATCCACGGGGATCCAGCATCGCCATGGGCCGCGCTTTGCCAAGTAGCATCCCTGGAAATCGTGGAATCCTGGAATTCTGGAATGGGTGGGAATGGAGCTTAAACCCCATCCCATTCCATGGGCAGGGACACTTCCCCTATCCCAGATTGCTCCAAGCCCCATCCAAGCTTTCCTTGGACATCCCCAGAGTGCGGCTCCGCCTTTCAGGTCATTCCCATTCCCAAATCCAAACGATCCCTGCTCCTGGCACCGCCCTATCCCAAACATCCCAGCAGCTTCCCAGGATGCATAACAGGGAATTTGGCTGGAGCGTGGCTCTTCCCAAGCTTCTGGCGGAGGAGGATATTTTCATCATTTTCCCCAAATTTTTCCATCATTATTTTGCATAATTTGTTGGGATTTGCGCAGCAAGAGTTGCTGGGAGACGCCACCACTTCCAGAGGGGAAAATTCCCGGTTGGAATTCCAACAGGATGGGGCTGAGCTCCGTGGAACTCCATTTCCTTGAGGGGAAAAAGTATTCCAGGATTTTTCCTAACTTGAGGGTGTTTTAGGGAAGTCAGAGAGGGGGAAAAGTCCCTTTTCCTGTTGGAATGAGCAGGACTCAGCTGGGGGCTCATCCATGAGAATTCTGGATCCATAGAGTGGATGGGCACACATCCCTGGATTTTAGACCAGCTTGGAAAAGATGAGGCTGGAAAAGCTTCAGATACAGGCATTGGCTGCCACCATTCCCAGCATTCCCACATCTCCCATCAAACCGGATCTCCCACAGCCAGACCCCAATCCGGGCTCAGGTCCCAGTTTATTTATCCCAATTTATCCCAATTTATCCCGATTTTCCCACTCTCCATCAACACCTTGACTGCTCCAGCCTTTCCCTAGCCTGGCCTTTTTCCTCCCGGAGCTTTTCCCAGCCCCATTCCCGCCGGAGATCCGCGGCTGGAGCCTCTGCCAGCGGCTCTGCCATGAACAAAGGAGCGCGGGATTTCTGGGAGCGGCCTTGGCACGGCTCCGGGAGTGCCGGAATCCGTGGATTTGGGGGGCACCGGAGCAGCTGCCTCCCTCCATCCGGAGATGGTTTTTCCCCCCCACCCCAGCTGCCAGATTTAGGGAATGACTCGGGAGATAGGAATCCGGGATGAATGGAACTATTCATGGTTTGATAAAATTCCATGGAAAAGAGCGGGAAGGGGGTTGGGAACGAGCCTGCCCGGCCGGGTGTGGGTTACGGATCCCGGCGACGCCGCCAGGCCCCGCTAACGACCCCAATTAATTCCTTTGAATCCCAATTAATTGCACGGAATCCCAATTAAAGCTCATTAAAAAGCCGAGGGCTGGAGTTGCCTTGGACGAGGGGAATTTGTCTTGGAACGGGGATTTTTCCCTTTCCAGATTTCAACGGCTCCTTATCCCCATTCCCAACCTACAGCAATCCCAAAGATTGGTGACCCCAGCCAGGCTTTTCCAAAGTTTTGTGGAGAATTTGGGAATGAGGGACAAAGGGAAAAGGAAAAAGGAAAAAGGAAAAAGGAAAAAGGAAAAAGGAAAAAGGAAAAAGGAAAAAGGAAAAAGGAAAAAGGAAAAAGGAAAGGATTTTAAGGAATAATGAGGCAGGAAATGTCCCACTTCCACATTCCATGGATTCTCTATCCCAGGGTGCTCCAAGCCCTGGCCTTGGACACTTTCAGGGTTCCAGTGGCAGCCACAGCTTTTCTGGGAATTCCAGCCCAGCCCATCCCATTCCTCCCATCCATCCCTGCCCCTGGCAGTGGGATGTGGGATCCATTCCCTGTCTCCTGTGCCTCCATCCCTTATCCCAAATCCCTCTCCAGCTCTGCTGGAGCCCCTTTGGAATATCTGGAATTCTCAAGGACAGGCTGCTCCATCAGATCCATTTTTAGCAGCCCCCCCGGAGAAGCCTTCATCCCGCATTCCCGGGAAGCCAATCCATGTTCTCCAAATCCCAATTCCCTGCTAACACAGCCCAGCCCCTCCACCGAGCTCCCCCCGGATTGATCCGGTATCAGCTTTTCCATGGATCAGCATTTGTTCCAGCCACGACATCTGCCCTTCCAAGGCAGCAGAGGACACGGAGAATTCCCACTGGGAATATTCCAGCGTTCCAACCCCCCAGCCATGGAGAACTTCTGGAGGGCACCGCTGATTTGATCCTAACAGGGAATAGCTGGAATTTCCTCTCCGGAATCTGGGCTTGTCTCCATTTCCTTTGGATGTTCCCATTCCTTTGGATGTTCCCATTCCTTTGGATGTTCCCATTCCTTTGGATCCCGGCTCCATCATTTGGCCATGGGATCACCCCAGGACCGCTGTCCTTTCAACAGTGTTTTTTTTTGGGAAAAATTCCAATTGTTTCAAATCCCTCATGCCAAAAAAGCCCCACGCCCCCAGATCCCAGTAATTTGTTAATTTGGGATTTGGGAGCAGCCTCTGGAATGGGTGGGAGTTGGGAGCTCCTGATCCAAGGTTAAATTCTCCAGCCCCTCCCTGACCAGAATTCCCACCTGGATATTCCCACCTGGCTATTCCCAAGGATCCCCATTTTCATGGCAAAGGAATCTCTTTCTTTCCCTTTCTGTTCCCTTCCCGACTCCCATCCCTTTTCCCTCAGCTTCCTGGGAGAGTTATCCAGGCTGAGGGATAATAATTCCCAAAATTTGGGGTGCTTTTCCCTTGCCAAGGCACGGAGACCAAACCAGACTCCACAGCACGGAATAATTATCCCAGATTCCCACAGATCTTCTGGAAGCCGGGAAAAAAAAAAGTTGGAGTGGCCATTCCATGGCATCCATGCCGCAATTCCAGGGAATTTGGGCAGCTCCCGGAGTGAGGCGTGGGCTCTCCCAGCATTCCCATGGATCCAGCTCCATCCTATTTTTAATTCCCTGGTCCCAAACTCCCCCAGGAGCTGCAGCTCCGGCTGCTCCTTCCCGTGGGAAGGGAGGGGGTGGCTCGGGACAGGGATGGATCCAGGAAATATTCCAGCCCCCCCCAAGCCTTTTCCCAGCCCTCCAAATCCCAGGAAAAGCTCTTGGTGCTGGCTTTAGGGCCCCGCTCCCGATTTTCAGCTGGATTTTCCTCCCAGGACAAATTGCTCGGGAATATTTACAAACTTTTGGAAAAGCTTATCCAAGGTTTGCAGCTCCTCTGGGAAGCGGCCCCGGCGTGGGAGGAGCTGCTGCAGGAGAATCCCAAATTCCTGTCCCGGATAAGGCTGGCAGCTGGGGCAGGATGCAGATCCAGACATTCCCTGGGGCTCCCCCTTTTCCTGCCTTTCTGTGGGAACAATTCCCACCCCCACATCCCACCGATCCCCGCAGCTTTGGATCACCGGAGCTTTTCCCGGATCCACGCTGAATCCGGAGAGCCACATCCATCCCGGAAAAGCCTCTCACAGCTCCTTGTCCCACTTCCCTTTTCCCTCTCCACATCCAGGGAATGTCCAGGGGCTGACATTCCCCGGATCCGTGTCCCAGTTTTGCCTGGAAAAGCCCTGGAATCGGTGATGGGTCAGGTCAGGAAGCTGTTCCTGGAATTTCTTAGGATTTCATCAATCCACGTTGCAGGAGATAAAATCCATAGGAAAGCTTGGATAGAACAGAGGAATTTTTGGGACAGAAGACAGAAAACTTTTCCATCTGCTCATCCATTCCCTGAAAATCAACAGAAAATTCCCCATCCTGCTGCAGGTGCTATCCCTGGGGCCTTTTTCTGGGATAAATCCATTCCCAACCCCCCAAAAAAAACCCTGGGAATGAGTGCTCCAAATTCCCAGCCTGGCTTCCAACTGCACCCCTGAATATCTGGGAATCTGGGGGTCTTTGATCTCAGTTGTGGATTTATATCCCAAGCTCCGGCCTGCTCATCGACCCCTCTCTGGAATTACTGGGAACACACTTTTCCAGGGATTCTGGCACGGATTGGGAATGGCACCTGGGAATACCCAACCCCAAAGACGGTGCTGGACACCCCACAAGTTTTTTCCTAAGGGGAAAAAAAAGGGGAAGGAGGGATTCTCCCTGTTCTCACCGGGGTCATTTGGACATTCCCACATCCCAATCCAGGATTTGGAGAGGGATCAGCCCCAGTCCCGCTGCCTCCCATTCCCAGTGCACCAGCCCAGTGTCATTCCCAATGTTCCGGCCTTTCCCAGCCTGTGTCACAGCCCAGGGCTTTTATGGGATCATCAATCCCATTCCCAGAGCCCACTGAGGTCATTCCAGACCCTTCCCACCCCGTGACCTTTCCCAAGGCAGATTCCCTGGAATGTCTGGTGACCTCCCAAAGTCATGGCTGTGCCACACCCTCGGGCTGGGACAGGCTTGGAGCTCCCTGATCCCAAATCCCAAAGATCCCACAGTCTGGAATTGGCCCAGGCTTGGAGCTCCCTGATCCCAAATCCCACGGCTCCTCTGGAATCGGCCCCTTTGCTGCTCCCTGATCCCAAATCCAGCAGGATCCAGGGGCTCAGGATCGCTCCAGGGCCACAGCCAACGCCACGGGATGGGAGAGCGGGATCAGGGATGGGATCAGGCTCAGTTCCCAGGGATCAGGGATGGGGAGAGACGGGACCAACCCCCAGGAAGCAAAACCTTCCCCGCAGGAATCCGGGAGCTGCTCCAGGATGGATTTGGACACCCCCCCCCCCCCCCGCCTCCTCCGCCGAGCTCCCGGAGCCATTCCCGAGGTTTTCCACGCCCTTCCAGCCACCTGTAGAGGTCCGGGAAGCAGCGGCCTAGGGAGGGGCCCGGGGGATGCGCGACCCCCGGGAGGGCTGGGCCGCGGGCCGGGGGCGATGCGCGGCTTGGGGGTGATGCGCGATTTGGGGGGGATGCGCGATTTGGGGGGGATGCTCGGTTCGGATGATGCGCGGTCCGGGGGATGCTCGATTTGTGGGATGCTCGATTTGTGGGATGCTCGATTTGCGGGATGCGCGGTTTGGGGGGGATGCGCGGTTTGGGGGGATGCGCGGTTTAGGGGGGCCGCTCGGTCCGGCGGATGCGCGGTTTGCGGGGGATGCTGCTCGCTTTTCGGGAGGATGCTCGGTTCGGATGCTGCGCGGCGCGGTTCGGGCTCCCAGCCCCGCTCGGAGCGGCTCCGGGGCTGTCCCGTGCCCCGGGGGTGCTCGCCCCGCACCGCCGCCCCCTCCAAGGGTTAAAACTGCAGCAGAGCTGCGGGGCCGGAGCGGCCGCGGCCGCGGGAGGGGCTCGGCCGCGATCGGAGCCCGGGGAGCGGCGGCGGCGGCGGCGCGGGCTCGGCCGGGCGGGGGAGGCGGCGGGGCCGGGCCCGGCACCTTACGGGCACCGGGGCGGGCACCGGGGCGGCGGAGGGCAGCGCTTACCTCGGCACGGGCATGCGGAGCCAGCAGCGCCGGGGAGACGGAGGAGCAGCCGAGGAGGAGAAGCGAGGAGGAGCAGGAGGAGCAGGAGCAGGAGGAGGAGGAGGAGGAGGAGGAGGAGGAGGGTGGGGTGTGCCCGCTGCGCTGCCCGCAGCTCAGCTCGGCCGGTGCTCGGCGCGGCGGGGCCGTGATGTCAGCCCCGCACCGCCCCCGGGGGGAGCGGCCCGGCCCGGCCGCCGGGGGGGCCCGAGCCGCCTTAACCCTTCGGAGCCCCGGTGCCGATTTAACCCCTCGGGAGCCCGGTTCGGGCCCGGACCCGGTTCCGATTTAACCCCTCGGCAGCCCCGGTTCGGGCCCGGACCCGGTGCCGCGTTAACCCCTCGGGAGCCCCGGTTCGGGTCCGGACACGGTTCTGATTTAACCCTTCGGGAGCCCCGGTTCGGGTCCGGACACGGTTCTGATTTAACCCCTCGGGAGCCCCGGTTCGGGTCCGGACACGGTTCTGATTTAACCCTTCGGGAGCCCCGGTTCGGGTCCGGACACGGTTCTGATTTAACCCTTCGGGAGCCCCGGTTCGGGCCCGGACCCGGTTCCGATTTAACCCCTCGGGAGCCCCGGTGCCGATTTAACCCTTGGGGAGCCCCGTTTCGGGTCCGGACCCGGTTCTGATTTAACCCTTGGGGAGCTCCGGTGCCACCCCCTCGGGGCCCGATAATCCTTCGGAGCCCCGGTTCCGATTTAACCCCTCGGGAGCCCCGGTTCGGGTCCGGACCCGGTTCCGATTTAACCCTTCGGCAGCCCCGGTGTCGCTCCGCAGCCACCTCTCTAACCCTTCAACAGCCCCGGTGCCACCTCCGCTTTAACCTTTTGGGAGCCCTGGTCCAGCCCCGGTTCGGTTTTAACCCTTTGGGAGCCCGGGTTTGGGTCCGGTTCCGTTTTAACCCTTTGCGAGCCGCGCTTCGGCCCCGGGATGCGCGGCCGGCCCGGCGCGGCCATGCTGGGAGGGGTCGCGACAAACGCGCGGTGTCGGCGAGGATTCCCCGCTGTCGCGACATGGCTCGGCTCCCTCCCATCCCGACAGCGCCAGGAAATCCTGGAATGCTGAGCTGGGAAGGAGCTGAAAGCCCATCCCAGGCCTGGCCTCGGCTGCTTCCAGCGATCCAGGGGGATGGATGCTCCATGGAAAATAAAGAATCCATGGATATTTCGGTACTCCCGGATATTCCAGGCTGCTGCAGCATCCAGAAGGATCCATCCGCATGGAAAAGGAGATTTTTTTTCTTTTTACCCCGTTTTTATTGTCGACAGTGACACCAGCAGGGCTGGCGGCTCCGTTTGCCGGGCCCAGCTGGAAGTGACACTCAGAATAATTCAGGACATCGATGTGTGCAAATAACCCCAAAATCCAGGCCCCAAAGGGAAAAAATCCTGGAGAATTGTATCCCAGCTCCTGCTCTGCCCACCAAGGAAATCCCGACTCCCAATGGCACCGATTCCACGGAAATCTAGGGGAATTTGGGGAATTCTAATATGGAATTTAGGAGCGTCCCTGCCACCCGTGGCTGTGTCACCTTTCAGGCCCCATATCCGGGAATTTTTTCCCATATTTCAAAATCTCCGGGATGACAGATGAGTGCTGGGGATAAATATTTAGAAAAAAAAAAAAAGCCAAAAAACATTTTATCTCCTTGTTTCCAGGATACAGTCCAGGCCTGGAATTATTCTCCAGGATTTTTTTTTTTAAATTTATTTTTTTTCCTCCAATTAATTTCATTTCTTTCAAACAACTCCAGGCCAATTCCAAAGGCATTCCCAATCCTCCTGGCAGATGAGCACAGCCCCAAAAGCAAGGATTTCCCTTTCATAAGGAGATTATTCCACCAGGAATTCGATGGAAGATGAGTTTTATTCCCAGCATCCTTGTAAAAAAAGCAATGGATCTGATAACGAGAGGAGGGAAAATCCCAACTATTCCTTGAAAATCAACTATTTTTAAGGATAAACCACGTGAGCTGGGCTGGAAAGTGTGGGAAAGGTTAATGCAATTAACAGGGAATTAATGACATCAGCCACTGCTAAACCCTGACCCACCCAGCCGTGACCTTTTCCCAAAAATCCTCCGTTTTCCCCGGGATCTGAAGGATCTGAGAAGATGCTTGGAACGAAGCAGAGCTCAGGACAGGGAATATCCAGGCCTGGAAAAGCCAGAGGAGGAGAATCCGGGTTTTCCCAAAGCCTTGGAGCAGCTCCATGTCCCGGCTGCCTCATCCCAGAGGGGGAATTGATTATCCCAATGAACTGCTTGGAAAAACCCGGAAAACTTGGAAAAAACTGGGAGCTGAGCTGGGATAGCTGGGAAAGGTAGGATGGAGAGGGAAGGCCGGGAAGGTGCCTGGAGCTGGGAGGATCCCGGAATTCTGGTGATGGATGGATCCCGATTTTCCACACCTGGGGAAATCCCAGCACCTCCCAAATCCCAGCTGCAGCTTGGGAGGAGCCCAGAAATGTTGGGAAAGGGGCTGGGAGTTGGGAAAGCCGAGAAAGCCGGAGGAGCCCCTCATCCTCGCTGGGAGGAGCAGAAATGCCGGGAATGGGGTGGGAACTCGGGAATTTGGGAATCTGCAGCACTGCCAGGGATGGGACAGTTCCCTTCCGAGGGAATTCCTCTGGCATGGTCGGGAAAACAGCTCAGGCTCCACCAGGACAGCCCTGCAATCCCAAATCCCAGCTTTGGGAATACCGGGGAGGGCAGGGGAACATCCCAGGGGATTTTGTGCCTCGGGTTTGGCTTGGAATGTTTGACGAGATCCCATTCCAGCTCCCAGCTGGATTTCTTTTCCTGGAGAACATCCATGATCCTGCTGCGGATACAGGGAAAGGGAGATGCTCAGCACCTGGAAAGAATTCCAAGGATTCCAATCTCCTGCTGGCACTGGGCAGGATCCGGGCACTGTGTCCTGGTCTCCTCCAGCTGGAGCAGCTTCTCCATCAGCACCGGAGATTCCTGATTTTCCATCAGCATCCCTGAATTCCCATGATCATCCCTGAATTCCCATCAGGACCAGAGATCCCCGAATTCCCATGATCATCCCTGAATTCCCACCAGCATCCCTGAATTCCCAGCAGGACCAGAGATCCCCGAATTCCCAGCAGGAGCAGAGATCCAGGTTGGTGCCGGTGCCCTCTGGAATGTGTCTCTCCCAGCCCAGGAGGATTCCCACGGGAATTGCTCCAGCGGGACTGGATCCAGGCACCCCATTCCCAGAGCTCTGGAGCGGAATCCCGGCTGGAATTCCCGGCCCGCGGCATGTCCCGGGAATGGGAAGAGCGGATCCCGCTGGATGCGGCCTCGGGGAGCGGAGAATTCCTGGATGCGGGAGCGCCTCGGGCTCCCTCTCCTGGCGCTGCCGGGAGGGAATCGCTGCGGAAATCCTGGGAATGGGAATCTCGCCGGGCGCACGGGTGTGGTCACCGCGGGGACACGGGACAACCCCTGGGATGAGCGGAATTCCACAGGAACTCAGGATGAGGGATCTGAGCCGAGAAAAGGAATGAAACCATTCCCAAAAATTTCCCGTTTTCCCCCCTCGCAGCACCCACAGCCCGCCATGGATAATTTTTCCATCTTTCCTCATCCCACCCCTGGGGTTATCCCGGAATTTCATTTCCTGGCGCTGCCGGGCTGGATGCGAGCAATTCAAAACAATCCTGGGGAAAGTTCCCACCCGGCTGGCTGGGAATGCGGGAAGAGCAGAGCACGACTGGGGATCCCAGTCTTCCCATGGGACACGGTGATCCCAATCTTTCCATCGGATGTGGTGATCCCAATCTTCCCATGGGACATGGTTGTCCCAGTCTTTCCATGGGACACAGTGATCCCAATCTTTCCATCGGATTACTGATCTTTCCATAAGATGTCGTGATCCCAGTCTTTCCATCAGATTGCTGATCCCGATCTTTCCATGTGACATGGTGATCCCAATCTTTCCATGGGACATGGTGATCCCAGTTTTTCCATGGGACGTGGTGATCCCGATCTTTTCATGGAGATCCCGTTACCCCCACAATCCCGACCCCCCCAGGGACAGGTGGGACAATTCCAGCTTTTCCAGCTCTTCCCCAGGGCCACCATTCCCTCTGAAATGAAGGATGGATTTTCCTCCTTGGCAAAACCTGATCCTTAGGGAAAAACCCCCGGAGCTGCTGCTGCCGCCGTGGCCCTTCCCGGGATTCCGGCTCCGGGACATTCCGGAGCCGCGTGGCCGAATCCCGGCCCGTCCCTGGCTCTGCCCACAATTACAGAGGAGCGGGAAAACCATGGATACGGCGCCCGGGGAGTCCTGGAATACCCGCAGCCGCCAATTATCCGGAGGCTGATGTTTGGATTCCCGAGTGGATAATTTATGGAGAAGTCCAGGGCCGGGCGCTCTTTGGATGGAAGCTCCTCTGGAATAACAATACCTGGCGCTGGGAGCGCACGGATAACCCAGATCCCGGGATTTGGAAGGGAGATGATTCCATTTGTTCCACCGGGAGCGGGAACAAACAGCTCCGTCTGCCCCGCCGCCGGCAGCTGGTTCCCATTATCCCTGGAAAAGATCCCGATTTTTCACTGGGAGGAGAATTCGGAGCCGCCTTGACTCATTCCAAGTATGAAGTGAATGTGGAGCGCAAATGAAAATTCCAAGGGGTGAAGGGATCGGAGAGGAGGCAGCTCCTCCCAGTGGAAGCTGAAATTCCCAATTCCAAGTGGTGCCCTCAGCTTCCAATCCTCTGGAGATCACCCAGGACTGGGAATTCCTGGGAAGCGTGGATCTGGGGGAGAAGCTCTTCCCAATGGAAAATCGCTTCCAAAGGAACAGGAGAGGGAAGTGGGAGCTGAAATTCCCAATTCCAAGTGGTGCCCTCGGCTCCCAGTCCTCTGGAGACCACCAGGATTGGGAATTCCTGGGGATGGAGTGCGGATTCTGTAGGATGGAAAAAGCTTGGGAGAGGATGATGGAAAAGGAGCAAGGCAAGAGATCCAGGGAAGAGATTTGGG